ACTACAACTCATCTTTCAGTTTTTAAACTTGTATATTGTTTCCTTGGAGCACTTTGGAATTTTTTAACAATTTTTTTATTTTTGTAGAGAAGAACTGGGGTACAGGCCAGAGGTACAGAGGGTAAGAGGATTCACCTGAGACAGAAGAATAGGGAGTGAAATAGGTGGATTTGCTGAAATACACTACCCAGGGGAGCAAGCGGTGGGCTAGATAGGAGGGTGATGTCTACTGTGCCATGTATGGGTTAATTCCCCAGCTGGGAATTAAACTCAGGCCAAGGAGATAATAACTCTGAGACTTAACCCCTCATCACCAGGGTGGCCCACATGTCAGACTTTGAATATCAACAGTTAGCATTCTCAAGTTAAATGTTCTAACTAAACACTGTACTTTCATAATGTAAGTCACATATGTATATAAATTATTTTGTGTATAGTTATTTGTTCAATGTCTGTATTCTATTCTGGATTGTCCCTATTGTACAGTAGTTATCCTCATACCTAACACAGAGCTTGGCACATAGAAAAGAGATAAAAACCAATTGTAGAATGAATGAACTGATATGTGAATAAGTGAAAGGACTCAAGAAATGTTAGTCCTTGTTCCCTGTTTAAGTCCATTTAGAGAAGCATGGATATGCCTGCACTATACAGCTAGAAAGATGATTTCCATTGAAAATAGACAGATTCACAGTGTAATCAGTGTTGATATATTTGATATATGTTTGAATTTCTTAAGGACATACTTTTTGGATACCTCTGACAGGCAGTTAATAATACAGATCTAGCAAAGAAGTTCTAGATAAGGATATAGATTTTTGGAGTCCTAAAATTTTGTTTTTTACATATTTTAAAATCTAAAATTTGTGGTCTTCTCCTGACTTAAAATGGAGGTAAGAGGATAAATGGGCCTCTCAGGTCAAATGCCAGGATATAAAATTTATAGTGTACTTGGTGCAAATTAAAATGGTTTAAATTCTGACCTGATTGCAGTCAGTCTTGATAGAATTACAATGGAAATGCTAACACAAATAGGAGTTTATTTTTCTACCCCACCTTTTTTGACAGTAAATCCTACACATAAATCTAAAATCTTTTTCCTAGAAAAAGCAGAGAAATATTCACTCATACATAAATAGTAGCTATTCCAAAATAATGGGACATGTCTAGATAGATTTGGGCATCTGGAAAAACTAATTATAATCTTAGCCAAAAGAGGTTAATTTCAAAAAAAGGTCAACACTAGTCAGAAAGTTGTATCACACTTAAACTTGGACTCAAACATGGCTGCATTAGATAGTGAAAGTCTAGTGATAAATTTCATAATCATACCAGGCACATAACATTCTTTAATCTTGTTAAATCATATGACTCTTTAAAAAATACTATTATACTTCAGTTTTCAGTAAATGAAATTTTCATGAGTAAAAAAAACTAGAGAAAAAATGTGATCACATGCCTATCTGAACTGTGTTTATAAGAAGTCTCTCTGTCCCAACACTGAGGCTGTGATTTAGTCACTGTGGTACAATGGACAGCATCTCCCCTGAATTTCTGACCAAGTTCTATGAAGTTCCGGGCTTGTACATTTTTGCAAACTCATATTCGTCCTACGACAATAAACTGCAATTTCATGAACAGTAGCAGGAGATCCCTGATACTAGGAGAATGGCTTAGAGAACGGTGCAGAGTCGAGGGAGAGCTAAGGAAGCCATTCGCTGGTAGAAGCATATGGATGGCTGTGGAGTGCAGGATGGTGTGCTGTTCCATAGTCCAGTGTTATATTTAATTCTAGACTTTGATGCAAGTGAGTTTCTAATAAACTTTCCCACATTGGAAGAACTCTTTGACACTTAACTTATTTTGACACCATCAGCTCCTTATTTCCCCTTAAGAAAAGCACCAAGGAATTTCCATTACAGGTTTTTGCTTCTCAACAGTAGTTTTGTGCAATGTTGAATAAATGATTTTTTTTTTGCCACTGTAGAAAACAAAATTTAAAAAATTTGTGCCTTTGGGAAGCTGGGGAAGAAAGACTACTAGCAAAATTGTTTGTGAATTAAAGTAGAAATGATAGCACTATTAACTAAATTGGAAGTCTCAGAAAACAACTATGATTGTAATGAAAAAGAAAGGTCTTATTTTCTTATGTAGGGTGGCCAAAACCAAAAAGTGTAATACATGATACATCTAGGGTTTTCTTTTCTTTTTTTTTTTTTCCATCTAGGGTTTTCTTAATGATTATTTATAATTTCCCTTCGGCTTTGGGGATATGTAATATATGTAGATGTGAGTACACATACTTTATGAGAAGGACAACTCTCGAGAGCTGTTCTCTAAGATACTCTTTTCATCAATACCCTTAAATATGAATGCTTGGGAAATAGCATGAATACATGTAAGGAAGTTCTTCCCTATTTGAACCTTCCCATTCCACTTCCCATTACTCTGTTATTTTAATGAACTTCTAGTTACTCCAACTAGATATCTGGTTAAGGTTTGAGGCATAGAAAGTTCTTCACAGGCATAGTATGACTTTATCCTCTCTGAGTGGCACCAGCAAGAGAAATAAGTATAGTGTGGATGAACAAAGTTTAGTGCTGATAGTATAACTGTTTAGCTAATTAACTATTAAAAAATTGTCTAGCTACATATGTATGTGTGTGTGTATGTATATGTACACATATATAGTTGGATATAGTGCCATGTGAATATCTATTTAACTATTTTGCTATGTTATCTTATGATAAAATTTTTGAAAAATCTGTTTCTGGGAAGTTTTATGGAATTCATTTGTACATACTTCAAGGAAGTGATATGATAACAACTTCATATTAAACTCAACTTGGTGATGGTTTAATTTTGCCCAAAATTTATAAAAGCATGAGTAAGTTTCTGAACACTTGTATATCAGTAGATAACTTATCTACGTATATTATTTTTAATAGATATTAATTTTTAAATGTCAAAGAGCAGAAGTTCTTATTTACAGATGGGTGAGGGTTATTTGGAAATTTAAGACTGTTTATTTCATCATAAATAGTATCAAGGATTTCTCTTTAGATGTGGTATATTTATACACTGAAACACTACTCAACAATAAAAAGATGAACTCTTCATGTACAACAATATGAATGGAACTGGAGGGGATTATGTTAGGTGAAATAAGTCAGGAGAACAACAAATGTCACATGGCTTCACGTATATGTGGAATATAAGACACATAACAAAGGATTACTTAAAGCCAGACAAAATAACAAACCCTAGGTATCTGTCTGTAGAATTAAGACTACCAGGGGGACCAGGGCGTGTGGAGACAAAGTGTGGAGGGGCACAGTGGACTATGGTTGAGGACTATGGGTGCGTTGGTGGCAGGTGTGGTGTGGTGACATCTATTTGAAGAGGTGAGATCCTGAACTTTGGAATCATGTTTTTACATCAGTGTTACATCAATTATAAAAAATAATCTGTCTCTTTAAAAAATGTATCACTTTGGTACACAATAAAAATTATATAACACTGGCCCTCCCTGGTGGCGCGGCGGGTTAAAGCACAGCACTGAGAATCTAAAGCTGCTTCCGCATGAGTTCGATTCCCACCTGCCCGGGAGGTGAACACATGGTGTGGCAGACCTCTCCTGACCCTCCCGCTGCTCCCCTCAGCAGTGTACTTCGTCGATCTGCCTGTTCTGTTCCCCTCTCTGTCTCTGGTGAAGCCTCTCACCGCCCCTGAGCCTCTGGACTGTACCCCAGTTCTGTATGCACAAATAAATAAATCTTTAAAAAAAATTATATAACAGAAGTATGTAACTTTCTACTTTATTTCAAATGAAGATACATATGTTTCACTAAAAAAAAATAAGTTTTGAAGAGTCATCTTCGAAATAACAATCAGTGCTGATTTTACCCATTGTTTTATTGAGTTGAAATCTTTATTCCACAGAGATTGTGCTAAAATGACTTGTAGAACAAATACAGTGCTGTGTGTAGCATTAAGAAACTTTTTTTTTTTTTAAGAAGAAACACTTCTTTTATGGATGAGAATGACAGTACTTAGTAGAACATCAGTCCCCAAAAGAGATGTTCATTTCTAGAACTTGAAAGCTGTTGTAAGGGTGCTACCAACCCTCTGTGGAACTGCTACTTTATAAGTTAACAGGAAATAAAATTTATGTTGATTAGAAAACACATTATGTTGTCAACTAAAGCTTCTGCCTTTTTATCAGTTCCTATGCTGACTTAAGATACTTTTAATCATTTTTTTTTGTTGACTTCCTTTCTTTGATTGTTCTTTTTTCTGTGTCAAAATAGAAAAAACATATCAATTAACTTGTAATGAAGCTTTCGCATGGGGTGCTATTTCAAATAAATCTTTCCATGAATGTAAATGCTTTCTTAGGGAATTGTATAGTATTTTCTATTTTTATATTGACATTTTACCATGTTACTGTGGCTTATGTATGTTTTAAATGATATAGTAACCCACACTCCAAATGTTTAATGCCTCGTCTTTAATAGAGTAAAAACTTTTCAAGCTAGCTGTTATACCTGTAGAAGGGGGCTCATGGCCTCTTAAGAGTTTCACTAAGTTTACTGGCTATAATAATACATGCTTATTTCATTGATTAGCTTTTAGCTCCAGGAACTACTTGTCGAAAAGTGGTATGTAATTTGTAAAATGTGTTTGGATGCAGTTGGGGTTCCACAGGCTGTATCAGTTACAGTTGCTTCTCCACAGAATTGATCCTACCTCCATCGACACAACGTACATCTTTCTTAGGATTTTGGGGTCAGGTACTACAGAAGAATGCAGTGATAGTTTGCCACATGATTTGGAGGGTTTGTTGAAGATTAGTAGTTTATGAGCATAAGAGATGATACATGGAGCATTGCTAAGAGCCTTCTCCCCATCAAATTTGGATCTAATCTTACCCCCCAAAATATGAACAAACAAAGAGCTAATGTTAAATTTATTCTTATTGCTTAAATGTTGTCTTTCAGAACGCTGCAAGTGTAAGCCTGTTAGAGCTACACAGAAGACCTATTTCCGAAACAATTACAACTATGGTAAGGTTAACTTCATGGTTGCCCTATAATCTGCTGTGTTTAAAAGGGTGTATATCTGTGTAAATGAGTGGAACAGTTTAAGAATAATGCCTAAAAACAAGTAAGGGCAACTTCTCAGAACAAAAGATCCCTAACCTAAATAATTAATGTGTGTCATGTGTGAAATTCCTAAAAATTCTTTCTTTTGAAGCACACAAGCCAGTATTGATGGTGCCTTAGAACCGTCCTATCAAGTGTACAGAAATGCATTTCAAATTAGGTAGGAGAGTCTTTTCTGAGTGGTTGAAGATTTGAACATGAGTGTTTAGCATCAAATGAGTTATCAGTTGTCTTAACATCACTGGGTAAGTGAAGGAAGGAGTCAATTTTGATTTCTTGAGTCTGTTGTGGAAAACATTGACAGATTTGAAAAGTAACAAAAAAATTGTTAGTATTCAATTAAGAAAATGTTTTGTTATCTAGCTTGACCTAGAAATATGATATTTTTATAAAATATTCACTGAAGAGTTACTAATCCAAATAGAGCTGATAAATTTAATTGAACAAAGAAAAAGGATGCTGTCTCTGGAGCGTCGGTGCTAGGTGGTTTCCATATACCATCTTATGTAATTTTTATAGCTGCTCCATAAGTTGTATTCCTAGTCTTATTTTATTAATGATTATTGAACCTAAGTTGTCATAATGTACTTTTGGGCACTAGCATTCGACAGTCATAAATATCTATTGCTGTTATACTTAGAATGGTGAAGCAATAATTTTCCAGTTGATGAGACAAATGAATATTTACTGTATTTCATAGAAATTTTATCCTGCCTCTGTCAGCATCTTTGAATTAATAAAGCTCATCCTACTATCTCTGCAAAAGACTTTTAATGGCAAGTCAATGTGTAAACATGGCAATTAGGTGTTGAAAAGGGAACTTTACTGTTAAAATGAGCTGCATTATTGAGCTTACATGGTCTGTTTCAGAGGCTGTAGGACATTTATCCTAAACTCAGCAGAGAGGGTAGAGTTCTGGCCTGAGGGGAGTCCTTGGCATTTGTGTGTCCCATACTTAAATGCTACCAGTTTTCTTTCCTGTATCATTTCTTTAAAATAAATGCACCTAATTTTCCAAGGTTTTCTTGAATGTAATATATTCTTACATTTTTCCTTCTATTCAGAGAAATCTAGTTTCTTCAGACAATGATAGACACACTTTCCAAAGTTGAATGGTCAGGGGTTTTTGTTTTGTTTAAGACATTTAATGCACTGCTGCTTATCTGAGGGCCCATTCCTCTATAAATTGATGTGAAATAAATCACAGGAAAAGTTACACTAAAAAAAATAAGAAAACTTACTAGTTGTGGGAAAGTTAGTTATGTTTGTACTTCTGTTACTTTATCCATCTTCCTTCACCATACAATGGTTGGTGATGCTCTTTTTGTTAAAAGTGACAAGTAATGGAAAGAAAAGCTTAGACAAGGTAGTTGACCCCTTTCTATAACTTAATACAGTGGCACATAGATCACAACTGATGGAAAGGACAACATTTATTTCCATAGTAAAACAATAAGCAGGTTGCTCCTAGTTTAAAGATTGTCAAATGGTGCTTAGTCAAAGTTTCTTTGTGAGGCATATACTCAAATGACCAAACAGAAGGGGAAAAAATAAATTGTCAATCCCAATATATGTTGATTTTTATCTTTAAGTGTTTGTATGTGCCTATTGTAAAAAAAATGAGGATGGGGTAATTGATAATGCAGAGTAATTCAGTTGAATGCTCTTGAACTTTAACAAAATTACTTCAAAGATAAAGTAAGTCTTGTGGGAAGATGTTTATTTTGGAGTAAGTACATGTCTAAAAATTTCTAATGAAAATACTAGACCCACTGGGTCCTTAAATCATCAGTTTGAGAACATTTGTACAGTTCACTAATCTCTAATTGCTGGTGGGTGCTATGTGCACTTTTCCATTAAGCCAGGACACAGTCTTCTGGCTGGGTATAGAATTTATCATTTGTTTTACCCAAGTGACATGTCAGGAAGGGCAGTCTTATCACTTGTTAAAATTCAGAATGGAGAGAACACTAATAAAGATTCTTTTGCTCACCAAGAAGGCAAAATTTTGTTATGCTCCATGTTCTCAAACTTGAGACAATCATTTTTTTGGTGATTGAGGTTTGGTTCTAAAGTTTTTAGAGTTAAGTAGTGACTTAGTTTTTGTCATGTGTATGTTATTCTGTGGAATGTTACTGAGTAAGTTTCTGTATGGCATTGGGGCATTGATGAGAGGGATGGTTTATTAACTGACTTTATATTTTCATTGATTTTTTTCTTTTTTTTTACAGTCCCTTGTTGTCTAAAACCCCTAAGATATGTGGGAAGGGACTCAGATGGAAGTGGATTACAGATATGTGCCTAAGAGGTTTTTTTTTTTTTTTTTTTAAAAAGTGGATTCATTTAACTAGCTTGTGTTTTCCTTTGCTTAACATCCCTGGATATTGAACAAGAGAACTGAGGTTGCCTGGGAAAAACCATTGGCTTTTTACTAGTGGACATTTTTACTTTTTCCTAGACATTTTCAAATTCCTCTTTAAAAAAAGATAAAACACTCTTACCAGAATTAGGAATCTAAAGAATTTAACTCTTCCAAAAGAGAGAAATACAGAAAAACAAAACTGTAATTTCTAAATTCTGAGTCAAATACTCTGATTTGAATGTTTTTTAGACAATGAGTGTTTATATTAAAAGACAAATCCAACTCTTGTGAAATAAGTCAGGTGCCAGCATACCCACTGAGAGAAGTAGGTTGATTAATGCAATGCCATTAGTTAGTAACTTAACTTTTATCATATTAATCCACAGCACATTATGGGAAGGAATTTTGTAGTGTCTGACTTCAAAGCAAATGAAGGAAACAGGTCTAGAGGTGATAGTTTTTATTAAAAAAGAAGATGAAATATATATTTACATATGTAAATTTAAATGACATATCAGATACTTTTGCATTAGACGGTGACCAGGAACACAATAAGCAAACAAACCTGCTTCCTCCTTCCAGTTTGTGTGCATATACAGACTTGTGTGAAATGTAGACTCTGCCTGTATTTCATTTTTTGTAAAATAAATATGCATTTATATATATAAATATATTTATAAAAATTATAAATCTATATATATTCATAAATATATATAGCATAGCATAAAGGTAATCTATACTAAAACAGAGGACCAAAGGAATAATGTCTAAGCAATAAGCCAAGGTGAGAAGAGGAAAAGATTGTAAAACTAGGGTAGGAACAATTTAGCCTATTTAGCGTAATAATACTAAAGAGACCCCTTAATAAAATCTGTTAATACATCTGATAGAAGAATGGTAACAGAGAAACAAAGCATAGTTGGGCTCTAGGTATTTACAATTTTATGAAATTAATATAACTTAAATTGTTGGCAGCGATTGAAACTGTACATAAACATTTGAAAACATCCAAAAATGAAATTTTGAAGGAAAGTTTTATCAGATTCATTCAACCTTTACCTGGTTGCCTTTCTCACCATGAGATACAGGCAGAGTCTGCATTTCCCACAAGTCTGTGTACACACAAATGGAAAGGAGTGGACAGGTTTGTTTGCTTACTGTGTTCCTGGCCAGCGTCTAATGCAAAAGTATCTGACTGACTTTTCCTCTCTGTTCACTTCACTCAAGTTGTTAAGAATCAACTAGAAAGAAGACTATTTTCTGTCCTGAACGGGACTCTATCTTTTATCACCTGAGTATATCAGCTTTATTGTCTTTTGTCCAGTCATCCGGGCTAAAGTTAAGGAGGTAAAGACCAAGTGCCATGATGTGACTGCGGTTGTCGAGGTGAAGGAGATTCTAAAATCTTCCCTGGTAAACATTCCCAGAGACACCGTTAACCTTTACACCAGTTCTGGCTGTTTGTGTCCTCCACTTAATGTCAATGAGGAATACATCATCATGGGCTATGAAGATGAGGAACGTTCCAGGTATGCTCCTTTGAAATTCAGAATAATTTCTGTGCCTTTCCTTTTCTTATTGCATTTCTCTAGAATTCTTACTGTGTGGTTCTTACCTGTGATCTGTCTGTCTCTAGAAGATCACAGATTTTCTTAGTTGGGTTCCTCAGTTTCATATATTGAATAGAGAAGTCTATGCAAACTATCTATCCTTGGGGAAGCCTTTCTGGGAAGAGAATCACGAATGCATGTGTTTCTTAACAGAGATTCATGACTCCCAAATAGTTAAGAATTACCATTCTGAAATTTTGCTGTTCTATTCTTGTAGTGATTCTGGTATTTTTTGTAACCTATTTTAATTTTCAAAAATGTTTGGTTCTTTAAAAAATATAGATTACTGTTGGTGGAAGGTTCTATTGCTGAGAAGTGGAAGGATCGACTTGGTAAAAAAGTGAAGGTGAGTCTACATTTTATGTTAAAGTGATATATAGAAAATAAAAGTAGGAAAAAAACCTTTTATCATTTAAACAAAATGGCTTCTGTCAACTCATGACAACTATTAAAACCTGAGCTATAAACTGTTATAAAATTAAAAAACAAACAAGCAAACAAAAAACCCTGAGCTATATACATATATAATTAAATCTTCAAGGCCCAAATTTTCTTTAGTATCTCTCTGAGGAGTGAGCTATCGGCATGTGTATAGAGATCTAACTGAAGTTGTTTAACTTCTCATATTGAGAGTCCAGTCCTAGAGGTGACGCCACTGTAGCTTAGCTCCAAATTCTAGTTTATTTTGCAACCACTTTCAAGAGTGTTGCTTTTATACTTAAAGTTCATGAAGGTTCCACCTTCAACATCAGACCTGCATTCCAGGGAGAAAGAAAAAGAGATAAAAGGGACTTTCCAACTGCCCTGACAATTTTTACTTTTAAGTGGATCCTGCATCTACCCCTAGTGCCTAGGGGAGCTGGGAAATGTCATTTTTTAGCTGACCGTATTACCTCCTTGAACAAATTGTAGTCAAAGGAGGGGAGAAAACAAAGAACTCCCAGCAATTAGAAGCAGAGACCTATGTACAAGGTACAGCCTTATTTATCTTGATGTAAGAGATCTGACCAAATTAGTTCCTTGGCTTTATTTTTAAACAGATGACTCGAAGATTCTGGAAGTGATATATTTTTGTAAAAAAAAAAAATCATATGGTCAACTACTTTGTTATATATATGACTGCATTTCTTCTTACTATAGGAAGCAAAATCTATTTCAAAGAAAGGAACACAGGGGAGTATGCACAGAGGGGCAAAGATGAGAGAAAGAGAGATTGAGAGAGAGTCAGTTGAGAGAGAGTCAGTAGTGGAGGGGACAGTGGGAATTGTGAATTTGAAAGCTCCTTCTGTGAGTCTGAAAGCTGGGGAAACATTTACAGGGTAAGTTAAACACCCCTGGGCAGTTGTATCTTCTACATCTGGCACTTGACACAGCAGACACATTGGCGGTTAAGTGACCAAGAGGAGAGGGCATTATTTTACATCACTAAGTTCCTTTTCCCCAGTAGGTTCGTCAAAATTGAGATGTATTTCAAGCGCATACTTGCGACATTTCTCTTCGTATCATTCTTCGATTAGTTTGGTGTTTATTTAAAAAAAAAAAAAAAACAAACCCTCCTTCAGAAAGTGGAATCGCTAACTGTTCTTTTAATTTGGTTTTCTGCTTGCTAATGCAGAACAGGAATTTGTCCTAAATTCCTGTACCAGTTGGAAGAACTTTCAACATCCCTGCTGCAAAACATGTAACAAAGCTTGCTGCTTCTCTCTTGGTACCAAAACAATATAATGGAAAGACCCAAGATAATGTGGTTTATTTCTTAGTCATGCAAATATTTTCCATTGCTTTCTACAGGGGTTATTATGAAATAAGAGTTATTATTATGAAATAATATATATATATATATATATGCTCAATCTGGATTTAAACATGCTTAAGGGGAGAATTAAATGAGCAATTTTTAATTCATGCTTATAGTGATAGTTAAAGATCTAGGGTGGAAGCAATGTTTTGACTAAAAATTATTGGGATCCTTTTGTTTGCCAGTCAATCTAATAATTTAATAGAGTTTTATAAAGAATGCTCTTTGTTTTTAAATAATTATTGACCCCTCAGGCTATTCTTTGCTCTCAGTGGAGGTATCAATAATTAAATAAAGGCCTTTTTTGGTTTTGCTGTAGAAATGGCTGTTTACCTAAGCCTGTAACAGTAGGTTGTTTAAACCAAGATGTTTGAGGAATTGAGAATCACACTGCTTTCTAATATGAAACATACAATAAGGTTGTGGTATAAAATGGGCTAAAGTGAATTACTTCCAGTGATAGAAATATGATCATTTATTATGCACTAAGCCCTTTATACATTTTTCATCTCTTATCTTAAAAAGTCTGATAAACAGATTCTATTGTTATGTTCAATGAATAAATAATGAAAATGAAGTCTAGTGAGTTCTAGAAATGTTGCATGGTAACTAATAGAATTTGAACTTGGACAGTCTGACATTAGCTCCTTGTTATCCAGGGGTAGTCCCTGCATCAGCAACATTGGCAAGGTGTGGAAGCTTTCTAGGTTTGAAAATTTGGGGCTCCATCCAAGACCCACTAAATGAGAATGTGAAGTTTTAACAAGATCTTCAGGTTGTGTCTGTTTTTAATTGATGTTTGAGAAATACAGCTTTAGTTCTTATTCACTACTTTTTTTTTTATTCACCACTTTTTTTTT